CGAGTAGTTGACAATCTGAAGAGAAAGTGTCTTGTATCTGAATTTCTGTAGAAACAAACATTATGCTAATGGCACCTTTATCACTGGGCAGCATAACTCAATTAAAATCGTGGGAACCCATAGCCACAAATGAGTCCTTCAACATCAAGATCATCTTGACAGCAGAACTCAAATAAAATCGTGGGAACCCATAGCCACAAATGAGTCCTTCAACATCAAGATCATCTTGACAGCAGAACTCAAATAAAATCGTGGGAACCAATGACCACAAACGAGTCCTTCAACTTCAAGATCACCTTGGCAGCATAACTCAAATAAAATCGTGGGGACCCATAGCCACAAATGAGTCCTTCAACATCAAGATCACCTTCACTACCTCTCTACCCACAGTAAACTCTACAAAGGACAAACTGGACGATGTCTAGATAGGAAGGAGCAGAAGGACAACACTCGATTATTCAAAATGCAGTCACCAAAATCAATAAAACCAACAAAAGTTCAACTCCTGCACAAAAGCCATCAATTAAAAATGTGCTTAAAAACATTACACAAAACTCCTCTCTTCAGCGTGATACCCATTATAACATTTGGACTGGTTCTTTCTTTTTTTTTGTTTGTAGCGTAATTTTTTCCACATTGGATTTCAAGAGAGAAAAGCATTTCCTTTTCCAAAATTCTGATTATTAGAGTCTTTAACAGTTTAATAACAAACATTTTCGCATTTTGAGTTGCCATTAATTTCTTATGGCAAATATAACTTAATGTTTCCACCAAGTTTTTTTACTCACATTGTATGGCTATTATTTCTGATTTCACTCCTTTTCTGAAGCTTTTTACATGGACTTATAATTTTTCTTAAATATAACTTCACCTTTCCTAGAGGCTCTCCTCCGACAGTTTTGGCTTTGAAGATATCTTAAATAATTTCTAAGGTCAACCCAACAGTACACAGACAGCCACTTAAGATTTAGCGTTGAAAGAATGCAGACATCACCATCCAACCATTTTTCAAAAAGACGCTTATTTTCTACGCTCTTTCTGTTTTCGATATAACATTTATTGACATTCACCAGTGAGCCAAACTCTCTCTTTCTCAGTCTTCTGGATATTTCCATACCATTGAGGAAATCCGTTCTAAGAATGCTGATATTTCATTGGATGCCGTGGTACTAGCGATATAACAGTCGTTCTAAATGTTCTTCTGCTTGCTTAAATACATTCCAAAAAAAGAACTGTTTCTGGTACACTTTTTCACTTTCGAAAGGAAAACGTTTTTACCAAAAATAATATGAATTGATCCTATCGTCCCAAGCTTACTCAAACGTATAGTTCCATGTTGATTGTTCAAACACTAAGCCTCGATTGAAAGTTATTATTAGACGATAATCAGTACCTCTACCTTATTTATCTAGCCATTGTATTTCCATTACATATGCAAACAGCACTCAGCATTGTACTGGGTAAACTGTATTGTTTATCCAGATCGCTTGGATTATGTTATTTGTACAGATCACTCAGACTGTGTCATTTGTACAGATAGTTGTCGCCAATAATATCCCTAATGAACAGCCATCATTTTTCTATACATTGCCATATCTGCTGAACAGACATAATTTTATACACATTGCCATATCTGCTGGACAGCCATCATTCTCTACACGTTGCCATATCTGCTGAACAGACATAATTTTATACACATTGCCATATCTGCTGGACAGCCACCATTCTCTACACGTTGCCATATCTGCTAAACAGCAACCGTTCTCTACACGTTGCCATATCCGACGAAACTCTTAATATTTTTCAAAATAATAAAAATTAAAACAATTATACAGAAGAAAGATAAACACTACTACTTCATCCTTCTTGCACTGAACTGGCCGTACAGAAGAAAAATAAACACTACTACTTCATCCTTCTTGCACTGAACTGGCCATACAGAAGAAAGATGAACACTACTATTTCATTCTTCCTGCACTGAACTGGCCATACAGAAGAAAGATAAACACTACTACTTCATCCTTCCTACACTGAACTGGCCGTACAGAAGAAAGATAAACACTACTACTTCATCCTTCCTGCACTGAACTGGCCGTACAGAAGAAAAATAAACACTACTACTTCATCCTTCTTGCACTGAACTGGCCATACAGAAGAAAGATGAACACTACTATTTCATTCTTCCTACACTGAACTGGCCATACAGAAGAAAGATAAACACTGCTACTTCATTCTTCCTGCACTGAACTGGTCATACAGAAGAAATATATACACTACTACTTCATCCTTCTTGCACTGAACTGGCCA